AAAAACCCAAAACCATATATTTGTGGAACCAAAGTTTCCAAGTGGTGTTACTGATTCTACGTGCGTGGCTTAAAAGTCAAGAAACTACCTGCAAAACACGTCAGCGCCTTGAAGGCTCCAGTTAGTTTTGAGCTGCTGGTGCTCGTTGCAAGTTACGGCACAGCGGTCACAGGGTGATTGTGCTTAAAGTGTTTTATACTAAAAGCAGCTTTAACTTTGATAAAAAGCTTATTTCCTTACTGATGAAACACTTGTGTTGCAGGTTTACACGGCTGTGCGTTTTTCTTTACAGAGCTGTCCTTTTGTGTCCGTTCTGTGTAGCTGACAAGGCTTTCCGTTTCCAGCACACTGTTAAACCCCTTCTTCCAGGGAAAAACATGGATTTGATAGAAGTTTGAGAATGATACTAAACTCTTGCTCTTACCAAATACCTATTAAAATATCTTTTTCTTTTTGATAGGTGTCTGTAATTACAGGAGAGCAAAGGCTGACTGAATGTTTCTTAAAATCACTAACAATGCACAGACAATCTGAGAATATAAAAGCTCCCCTGGAAGTTAAAGAAAATGAGAGTAGATATACTGAAGAGAAAGAAGAGGCCTCATTCCCTAGCGCGTCAAAAGAGCGGAAGACTTGCAAAGTGCCAAAATCCAAACTTGTGAAAACATCCAAGAAGGAGAATTCAAGTGATGGGAAGCAGGCCCAGTTGCAAAAATGCACCCCGAAATACACCAAAGGCCTCAAGAAGGAATCTTACCACAGCAAGGAGGATCTTGTTAGCTATCAGTTCACTGAATGCTTTTTTGATATGCGAAAAGGGGATGTGCTTGGTGAAGATACCTTGCCTTTGAACAGCAAGGAAAATGTTTCAAGAAGTAGGCCTGTTTCTTTGGGGAATGAATGCTACTCGACACCAAATAGGTACAAAGCAGAAGGAAAACCTGGTGGTGGAGTATCAGAGAAAGAGAGGAAAAAACCTGTTGATTTTGCAACTGTAACTGTTGCTGAATTTGGGATTACTCAAGAAACTTTTACTAAACCATCTATAGGTAAGGCTGGAGTGACTAATGACTGTTGGCCTTCTCGGAGGGACATCTGGAGGTCATGTAGTCCTACCTGTTATGAAAAGCCTCAATTTAGGTCAGGTTCAGGTTGTCTGGCTGAGTTTGAATATGACCAAGGATAAGACTGTGATATGATGTTGCTATAATTCTCTATTTAACTTTTTTCTGTCCGGTTGGTTAGGTGTCAGTGAGTTTCACAAAGGAGTAGTAAGACTATTGGTAGGGAGTTCCTTCACTAGCAATTGAAAAAGTAGAAGAAAGACAGCTCCTCACTTGTTGTATAGTTTAGTTAATATTTATGTTGCTTTTAGGAAGTTAATTTGCTTTTGCTCAGGAAGGTTTCTTGAGCTGAGCAGCTAACTTTGGATGTTTTCGTAAACAGCATAAATCACTCTTAAAAGAAAAACCGTTTTAAAGCTTTAGGTATTCTTACAAAAAAAATATCTTTTTGTGTGTTGTGTTCCCTCCCACCATCTCCTCCTGTCTCTGTTTCAGGGAAGTCTCCAACTTCATTAAAATTTAGACGAAGATCAACAGTCGGAGTACGGGGGTCGCCAGAAAATAACACCCTTATTCAATACCTTGCCCAACAGCGAAGCAACAGGCAAAAAGCAGCTTTTACACAGGTGAGAGTCTTTCTCAAATACCTAATGTGTCAGTTTAGTTCCCCCTTGGAATAAACAGGTACTGGCAGAAAGAGCAGGTAAGTCTTGGGAAGGAGCCAGTAGAGGGATAACCATGGCCTTAGTTTTGTTGACGTGTTTGTGCAGAGTCTGGAGTCGTTTCTCCATGTCTAGCTTGCTCGTATATTTTAACTTTTGTTTGCCATAACCTTTACTTTTCCTGCATTTGCCATGCTTGGTTTTTGGCTAATTAAACTGTTGATAGTTCAAAGTGAAGTAAATACTGGCATAAGTGACTTGGGTTTTAATCACATTTGTTCTTAACTCAGACTACAAATTCTGGTTGTGGTCTACTGGGACAGAGGATGAAAGGCAGTAAAACTTAACAGATTTCTTGATGCACTTCCTTGTCTGCATATTTTTGCCACACAACTAAAATTGCAGCCAGATTAAATACAAGATTTGCTGCTTCTCTGAGTTTGTTTTATGCCAAAGTACAAATACAAGGTAATAAAGCCCATGTCATCCAGGGCGAAAGAAAGTCTCATGCAGTTAATTTTGTTTGAGCAGGTTAGTCCTTTTAACCATGAAAATGCCACGTCATTGAAGGAGAAGATAGATGCCTTTCAGACATCTTTTAAATCAGTACCAGAAGCCGAAGGGGAGACTGGCTCCTCTGGACTGTCACGAGTGGATGATGCTTCCCAGGAAGCAGGCTCTTGTAAGTTGATTATATTTCTGGTCAATGATTTCTCTTAAACATCAGGTCTTCCTTTAGGCCAAAAAGTACGAAACTACAAACGCTATAAGCAAAAAAATCTTTCTTGCTAAGGTTTGGCACAGATTTTTTTGTGCTCAGTTGGGGTTTTTTTGGTTTGTTTAAACCTATCTTATTTCTTAGCGCATCCTGAATAGTGGTTTCTCAGAACAACCCCTGAAGAAAAATGAAGACTAGTATTTTTCGTGACTGTTTTTAGTTTTACCCTTTAATTTACTTTTCACTAAGCGTTAGTGTTCACACTTTTTTCTGTGAAGGATTTTTATGAGAACTGGTTTTAGCTGTTGTAACGGTTATCTCTCTCGATAGTGATGTGCAGGCTTTGGTTTGATAACTTTTAAGTGCAGCAATTTTAGAAATCGCATTACATTATTCTGTTAACATCCTTTTTTTTTTAATTAAAAGGGTAAGTGTTGCACAAGCGAGTCAGGGCAGTACTGTGGTAACTGAGAAGATGATAGAACAAAACAAACTGGTATTGGCTTTACTTCTCTGGTATTGGTAGTGTTAATAACATTTATATGAAAAGAGTAACTTGCTTTGTTTTGAAGAGTTGGTAATGTTATTTTCAAAGTAGAACTAAAAAATTCATGTGTTTTCTTTTTCCTGACTAGAAAATTACCTAGCTGTTTGAATCTCGCTGTCCTTTTGGTGAAGAAACACAAAGAGAGCATTATTTGAAGTTTGTGGTTTGTTGTTTGGTTTTTGTTTTGTTTTAATTGATGCAGCTCAGAACAAAGTACCTTTTACAAAAGAGCGGAACCTGGAGCAGTGGAGTGAAAAGTTCATGTCAGACAACAGTGGAGCCAATTTGAAAGAAAATTTAAGACAAAATTTGACCAACAGCAGTAAGTCTGATACCAAGCTCTGCACCATCGTGTCTTCACCCCAAGATGTGACTGTCACTGAACATGCTGCTGCTGTTTCAAAGGTACTTCTATAAGTGTGGGCAAAGAACATGGAAAAAACATAGAGCATAGCAAGTCTTCCCTGTAAGAATTTTCTGTCTTGTTATGACAAGTCAAAGGAATGAAAATCTGGCACAGACACTGATCGTTTGGACCGACAGTGAGTACAGCCTCACCTCAGACACCTGCTGCTGGCTCTCCTGGGGCTGCGCTTGGTTTTCTTCTACGTGCAAATGTGCAATGTGGGTGCTATCAGCTGTTCTAGTCAGTAAAACTATACTCTCTTCTGATAGTCACATGCAAATGCTTATTTTATTCCATTGATAAAATTTAAATATGCCCGAATTCTTTTGAATTCGCAGCTGTGACTATGTGAGGTGCCAAATTCACAGATCTGGCAAATACAGCTTTTTCCAGATATCAGAACCAACTTTACTGATCCGTTGGGATGACTTAGAATGCGATTTTTAATCTTCACCTTGTGTCTGTTTGGCAGTTATTTGGTATTCCATGGGAAAAAAAAAAAAGATTTACTTGTATACAAGTGGAGAATTTAATTTGTCTTCCATACAAGTATCTCTAGTGATCCTTTTATTGGTGTCATATATAAAACCAAAGAAGATGGGGTCCATTTTGCTCGGTGTGTCCACTGGTGCTGCTGGACCGAGCACCTTTTGAGTCATAAACCAGCTGTGATAGTGTAACTATTGTATGGAAGTTTAGGAAGAAACTTCCTAAATTAGTGATTAAAACACACAGGTTTTTCATTCCATCTTTTTTTTCCATTTCTGATGTCTAATCCTTTTAAGCATTTAGCCTTGGTATTTTGGGAAAATAAATTCAACTAAAGAAGCGGATGATTGAGAAAACTCTGAAATCCTTGTTAGGATGAAGAAAACTCTATAGTTCATGCTATTTTAAAAGGCAGCGTTTGCAAATAGTTTTTTATTCAGCATGTTGTGCGAGTGTGTATATAAATAGATGCTATATATATAAAATCTTGTAACTTTTTCTCTAGGAATGGGTTCGTGAGCAACACAGTCCCATTGAGTCATTGGAGGCTGTTGTAATTGGAGAAACAGGCCATGGTAGGAGGATTCATCACTGTTACAATCTTTGTTATATTCTTTTTAGAAAGTCAAAATGCTTAGAATATTTGTAAGGAAACGTTTCACAAGAAGTCAGCCCATGTCTGTCGTCTTGTCTACAATTTATAAAGCAGTTGAAACCTGATATGACTTTGACAGAAAGGCTGATGGGTGAACAAAACAAAAGTACTACAAATAACTGTCTATTCAAGTGCTGCTGCAGAGGAGGCTCCAGTCCCAGTTTAAAAACTGAATTCAGAGCTTGTTTGGTATGGCATATCATCAAACATGTTTTCACTTAAGCACAATTCATAGGAAGGAAATAGCTTTTATGAGAGGAGCTGAAATATTTGGGAGGTGGGTAGGGCCTCTTGGGTGGTACGTCAGCAGTCCGAGTTTGCTTTTTCTGTCAGAATCAAACTGAGACACAGGCTGGGAATAATTGTTTAGAGTTTTCCTTCATTTTGCTAGTCAGGCAATTTTTGTGGAAAAGTGTAGTTCAGTAGCTGAAGCCTGTGAAGGAGAGAGGGATGTTAATGCACGGAGTTTCTCTCCGTACGTTAGAGAATACTTCCCCCCCACCCCTGCAATTTACATGGAGGAGAGAGAAATCCTTACACAAAATATCTTTTCCTTCATGCAATGCTCTGTTTTTACTTCTGTATGTTTTATGAAATGTAAATGTGGCACAATAATAGAAATTTAGAAACGAATGGATTCTTTTTTGGTGATACCCATGCACAGAATCTGGAGATGCATACATTTATAGTTCGTGTTGCTAATACTAAAGTCTTCTCAATTTTACTTCAGTCTTTAATTGTCGTATCTGTCTGCTTGCTCTGAAGATTTCACTTCTGACCACATCACTGAAGATATTACAAGTGATGTTTTATCAGATCTAAGCAGAAAGAAAGTTAGTTTTGTGGAAGAACCGAGCCTGGGGATGTTTGATGAAAGCAAGCCACCTGTCACGCCACCTCTCACCCCACTGCAAATGGGAAATATTTTGTTAAGTGAACGTATCCAGAGCGGCTCCCATCTGCGATCCGTGCTGAAGAAAACGCCAGGGAAGCAGCTAATGGACAGCATGAAGGTTGGTTACCTGACTTACATGGAGCTGTTAATCCTAAGGATGAACTTCTGCAGTCATTAGTGAACTACCAGAAGCTGAATTGTGGTTAAAGACACTTTTTGACTAATTGACATGCATCGGAAATAATTTGATGCCGTCAATGGATCTCCGTTGGGTCATCTTGGGAGCTTTGTTTGAAGCTTTCCTGTTACGAGAAGATCCATATGTATGTTGTTTTATTCGTTGAGAAAGCAAGTAGGTTTTTAAAGAATAGGGCTGATTATTAAGTGCTGCTTACAGAAAAAGTTATTGTCACTTTTGATTTGAACAAGGACAATATTTTAATTAAACGGTTATCACTTAAATTCGGTAGGAATACTCGAACGATGCCGTTGAGCGAGGAGGAGGTGAATGTCTCGCAGTCTCCGATTGTGCAGAAATCTTTGAAGCATTGCAAACAGGTCAGATTCCTCTTTTATTTTTTAAATAGGCAGTGGGATCTTAAGACTTTTGCCTTTTTGGTAAATCTGAAGAATGATATGCATTAACCACCACTGAAGCAGCTCATGTGTGACAGCCTACTGCATGAAGTGGAAAGTAAGGTTGCCAAGGAAAATAATGTCTGTTAAAAGAAAAAAAAATCATACCAAATCCCACACCAAAACTTCAGAAAGCCTCTAATACTGGAATAGAATCACCTTTTTTCCAAGAGATTTTACACTTGTCAGCTGGAACTTGTGGATTATCTAGTAATTTCTAGTCTTCTGTTTTCTTTCTTCTGTGATTCGTGATACTGTAATGAAGCTATAGTGAAAATTCAGGTTGAATCCAGGCAGGTGGAGGTGGTATTTTGCTGTTTGGTTGGAACGGGGTGTGGTTGATAAGACAAGGTTAAGACCCATAAAAAGACCTTGAAAAGTCTCTGATCTATGAAAGTTCTGTTGGAATTCACTAAGCAGTCTATGCATTTAATTATAACAGAGAAAACGGGATGGCACAGCTCTGAAAAGCCAAAGAAGAAGAGAGTTACTTTTGGAAAAGTTCTAAGCCCAGAAATATTTGATGAAACTTTGCCTGCAAATACTCCGCTGCGCAGAGGAGCAACGCCAGTCCGTCAGCCAGGGCTGCAAAGTAACAGCCCTTGTGCCAGGCCAAGGCTCCCAGAAGAACCACTACCCCAGCCAAACTTTGATTGCACTGATGTAAGTTTTTTGTTGGTGTGTTTGTTGGTTTTTTGTTTGTTTGGATTTTTTTTTCCCCTGTAAAAACAGCCTCTTTGTCTCTGTGAATGCTCAGTTTTTGTTTAATTTCTTCCCCAGTCTGCTTGGTTTTGAAAAGGAATTGTTAAAATATTAAAATACAGTCTGCTTGAGCTTTAGAATGACATTGAGAACTTTTGCTTTATGAATTCTAAATAGCATCATGGCCTACAGAGCGATGTTTAAAGTTGAGAACTGGTAGTGCATGAAATGTTTTTGCCTTGGCTTGTTCATGTACTTCTGATACTGTATTTCTTTTTCCTGTGTATAGCAAATGACCTGCCACGTTCTTTAAGGAAAAAAACCAACAAAATCGCTTGGCTATTCTAAACTCTAAAGGACCAGGTGGTTTTCAGTATATATCTGGTATATGTTGCCAAAAAAATTAACTTTTTTTTGTTTAAAGGAATGTGTTGAGCCTCTTCAGGAGTTAGTGGAGGATCCTGTTGCTGCAGAAGACCTCTCACCTGTTGAAAACGCAGACGGTAACCCCAACTTGTAGTCTTGTCATTAGCTAATGCATTTTTCTGTATCTGAAAATTCAGAGATGATGCAGGGTTGGTTTGGTTGGTTGTTTTTACACAGGGGATGTATTTCACTTTGCTAAAATGTAAGCACTCGTGCTTTCTTCTAAAGGTCTCTGCAGTAGCTGCAGTGTGTACCTGGTTATGTTAACTAGGTGTTATTTGACCTGGTGGTGGTTTTCTGTGAAAGTGGCTGAGAGAATTAGACTTGCTGCTTTAAGTAATCGAGTTCGCTGTCTTGATTCTGATATTGTCATTTTGATGTTTGTAAAGCAACAAGCGAGACAATGACAAAAAAAATGAAAGGGGGTCGTGTATGTGTGTGTATGTATCTGAAAGCTGTGTAAGTGCTCATTATTTTGTTACCAAATCCTCACAAGTCTTGTTTTCCTCTGTTTTATAAAATAGCAAGCTCTGAAGGTGGTTTTTTTTTTTCATCTTGCTGTGTTTGATAGTCCTCAAGACTAAGTTACTGTTTAATCAAGACTAAGATGACTGACCATGCTGTGCGTAATGTTAGAAATTATGTGGATAGTTTCCTCAAAATGTGATTAACTTTTTGTGTTGAAACTGAATCAATATTCCTGTTTTCTTCAGGAACTGAGAAATCTGATATGATAAAAACTCGTTTTTCCACTAAAAGGAAGGTAAGTTTCTTTAGTGATGATGTTTGTTTTGATTTTTTTTTTTTTTACATTCTTCAGGCAGAATTGTTATCTTTTATACCTCTTGATGCTTCTAAGAGGTTTTAATGGCCTCAGGTATGAGGATTGTATATATGTACGTATATGGAAATATCTTGTGTTAGTGCAGGTTCTTATCTTAAGGAGTCTCATTTTTGAGTGAATGTGGTTTTCCTGTTATTAAAGACACTTTTGGTTGTAGCCTGATACTTAAATTTACTGTTTCTATTGCATTTTCCAGGAACTTTCCCAAATAGTCTGATGAAAGTTAGAAGAGATTCATTCACAGATTTTCATTCATAGGATAAGGGGCTTTGCTCATGGGAATCTAAAAACTTATACTCACAGAAAAGTGAAGAGAATGGAAACTAAGTTTTCTGTCAAATTTTCCTATTTGGTTTAATTTTTTTGAGACATAGGAATGTGAGATAGAGGCTAACAAGTCGAGTTTAGTCTGCAACCTGTGATGACTTTCAGGATCACTGACAATGTGGTTGTGTTCCCAAGATCGGCGCTGAAGATCTTTGGGCTTGTTCACCTTTTTATCTGCTAGCCATAAGGCAGACAGTGTCATACATGCATCTCTTCTGTTTGCTGGCATTTTAAGGTGCTTATTGGACAGGGAAGGCAAAAAAAAAAAGTAATATGAAAAAAGTAACCCATCTTCTCCGAAAGAAATATTTGAAGATGAAAATTCACTATTTTCTCATTAGAATGTCCTTTTTGTACAAATAGGAATATATTATATGGTAATAGAGACTAGCTCTATAAATCTGAATTTCTAATTGCCAGCATCTAGCTCTTATGACCTCATACATGAAATAATGGAGACTAATTACAATGTGATTTTTATGATTGTTGGACTGGGGTATATTTTTTAAAAATGCAAGCGTATACACGTGCACCTCACCAACTTAAAATTCACGTTCCTCAACAGTGTAGCACCAGTTCAGAGGGGACCAGCTTTAGCATCGCAAGGACCACGAGTACTAAGAATGCTAAAGAGACTAAAAATCCAAGAAAGAGCAAGTTTCAAAGACAGAAGAATGCAATGACATCTGCTACCAAAAAGACTCAAGTAAGTGACAGCCCACTGCAGTTGGTGAATGCTGCCTTTATTTCTCTATCCGTGTGTCTCTTCTTTCTTGTGCGTTTTATGGGATTATTTTGCTCTTTGTAGTAAAGATTTTCTAAAGGGTGTTATGTTTTCTGTTACTACCAATGTTCTTCATGCCTGTTGTGTTTTCCTGCACTTAGTGGCACAACCCTCTTTCTTACTGCTTGTTAAGGCCGACTAGCAGGGTTTAAATAAAAATACTTTTAAGGGTTTAAAAAAATTCTTTATGGAGGTAAAGCGGCGAGGAGTGTGGTGTGTCACTTTCCAGACTTCAGGGAGAGAAAATGAGTTTGTGGTTCTTCTCTTACTACGTGTGTGCAGTAATAGTTCTTTGAACTTGCCCACTTACATGCTAGGTAAGTATTGTAAAGGTGTGAGACTTCTAAATTATTTTTGCCTTCATGTCTAGGAAGGGAAAGCACATACTCCTTTTTAAATTAAGCCTGAATGAAGAATCTGTAGTTTTGAGCTGGAAGACTAATTCCTTTGAGTTCTAGCTTTGGTTAAATGAAACAAAAATCCAATCTCATTCTGCTTTGCTGTGAGTGCTTAGATTAGTTTGTAGGTGGCAGAACAAGTGGAACCTTCGTTTTAGGAGAAACAATTGTTACCTGTCAAAAGTCAGTAATGGTGTCACTGATTTGTTGGAAAATATTGTACAGGATCATTATAATTACATTGTGCTCTATTCAGTTGTCTCAATCTTTTCAGAAAATAAAACATTCAGGCTATGGGAAAAGAAGAAAGAAAAAAGTAAAAAAATCTTTATATGGGGAAAGAGAGATGGCTTCTAAGAAACCTCTTCTCAGCCCTATCCCTGAAATTCCAGAGGCTTTCTCTTCTACCTCATCTCCAAATTTATCAAAGACAAATGCACTTTTTTCAGGTAATGTGGTTTTTAGTTTTGTTTTGTGTTGCTCTTTCTGTTGCTTCTCATTTTTTGTTTCAACAGTTACATAAAAAAAGCTGTTGATCATTATCTTGAACTCTGTGCATAGGTAAAGAGCCCAGTATTCATTTTTTACTTCTGATTCCTCCTGTAACAGTAGAGTCCAGAAGATCTAATAGATTCATCATCTCCAACAGGATGAATTTAACTCTTGTTGGACTCCAGTGTAAAGCTGACAAAAAAGAAACAAAGCCTTTCTGTACTTTGACTAGATACTGATATTTTCATTTAAAATATCTTTAACTATCTTACCAGATATTAAAATATCTTTAAAACTTGTAAGTTGGGCATGAATAGTTAAGTGATATGCAGTAGCTTTCTGTTGGTTTGTTGGGTGTTTTTTTATGCTACTTATCTATAAAGCTGTCATTCATAAAATTAAAAAAAGATTTTTGTACATGCACAAGCAGTCAAGTAATCCCATGTTTATTCTAATTCAGAGGACATATTTTTAGATAACACCAGATCTGGGAAAGCTCACAAGGATGGTCAACAGAAGCCAGTGGTTGAGAGAATGAGAAGGAAAAGCATCTGTGCAGTTCATATGTGCTCAAGCTCTAAGGACCTGGGCGTTGGGGAACCCAGCAGCTCCAGTGATGCCGTGTTTCAGGTGTCCGATGGTGATCTGCAGTCTGTTTCTGGCATTGATCATGAGGTAACTGATACTCTTAAGGATACTGCTAGGAAATAAGTCAGAATTGTGCTTGATGTTGCTGGATCAAAAAAGTAATGTTCTTGGGGAAGAAAAAAAAACTAAGAGGGATTAAACATTGGAATGGGCTGCCTGGAGAGGTCATGGAATCTCCATCCTTGGAAGGAGGTGTTGAGAACTCATGTGAACAAGGCCTCAAGCAACATCAGTTTGGCCCCACACTGGAGCACATTCCAACGCGTGGGATTCTATATGTTGGTTAGTTGGGGTTTGTTGAGAATGACTAGACTTGGTGAGGAAAACAGTAGCAGTTGTTTAGTTGTCAGCTCTTTGAAACTATTTTTTTTGTGGGTTACCTTTGCCTATGTTTAAAAAGAAAAAAATACCTTTTTTTTCCCCACTCCAGTTTTCAAACATTGTGCCAGATGCAAAGTGTGTTTTTGATACATCTGACCATTTCCATCAAGGTAAAGAGACAGCATGTGTAGAAGAGGCAAAAGAAAGTGGTTCCTTGATAGAAAACGAGAAATTACAAGGAAATCTCCTAAATAAGGCAGAGGAGCTAACTGGCCTAGAATTTCTGGAACAACAGGTCAATAGTGTACCTGAGGATGCTCAAAGAGCTCAGTGTCCACAAAAAGATTCTGTAAGAGGTATTCCACCAAGGAGAAGAAGAAGTAGTGCCATCTATTTTCCTCCTGTTGAAAAACTGGAAATAACTGGAAAAAATTCTCCAGATTCTTCTTTTAATGTGGAAGAAGTCTTATTTGCTCCTCAGCTGAAAGACAACTCCTTAGAGCCTTTAAGAAGGAAGAGCCGTAACGGTGGCGCAAAGAGCGTGAGGCGCAGCATGAGATTGTGTAAAGATGCAGAAACTGAAGGACTTGCATGGATTCAAGTACCCAGTGAGATTCCAAAGAACCCTCCCCTGCTAGCTTCTACTTGCAAGGTCCGGAGAACAATCAGCACATCCATCCTTACGGAATCCGAGAACGTTCACCGTAGAGAACATAATCTCATCCAGTTATCAGCACCAGGGAAGGAGAACGATGACTCTGTTCATCTTGCTGATGCTCCTTGCAAAAGATGGAGGAGGAGAAGCATGTGTGTGTCCACACCTCAAGAAACAAGACCTTGGTCTCAAATCCGGAAAAGGAGCATGACAAATTCTGTATATAGGAAAGACAGAAATAACCAAAAACACTATGAAGAAGTAGAAATACCTCTTGAAAATAATTAACATTTAGCGAGGTTTCAGCTACCTCTGATTTTCCAAAGTGAAGGTCAGTATTAGGTTCTTACGTTCTGTCCCTTAAGTGCTGCTTTCTTCTCTCTCCTCCTTATTTCCTTACTTATCAGTTCCTTATTTGTTTTCTGGATAACTTAGAGCTGATTTTCCTTGTCTTGATGCCTCAAATGCTTGAGGATCAGAACAGTGTGGAGACCTGTCAGAGCGCTGGTCTGGCTGGTAGTCAGTCATGGCAGGTCAGCAAGAGGATAAAAACTTTTCCTCCCACACTGAACTGAATTTGACGTCACCTGTTTATTGCAGCCTACATCCTTGCTTAACGTTTTTTCTTACTTTATGCTGTCTGTTGAATAGCAATTCAACACTGCTAATATTATAAAAAACTCGACAAATGCTTGACTTTATCTGCAACACCAAGTTGAGTCATTTCAAGAAGGCAAAACCTAATTTTTCTCAGCTGGAAGGATCGTGCTAGGGGCTAGTGGGTTTTCTTGCAGGATATGGCAGTCAGACAATATACAAAAATAATGTCTGTGCATGCATTTGTATGCACGTTGCCATAGGCTGGGGTTTTCCTGTGTTTAGAGAAATGTTTACAGTCCTTGAAACTTGGTGGTGACTGTTAGATGGGATGTGTTCCATGGACCATCTTGCTACACGTGCTGCTCTCAGATGTGCAGTCCATATAGGAAGTTGCTAAATGGACCTGTCAGCAAATGTGGGACTCTCAGCTGTTTTAAGCAAAGAGGAAAAAATTCAATAGTTTAAAAACATGATCTGTGGTGACAAATTAGTTTTCAGGTGATTTGGAGTTGATAGTAAGCCATATTTTGCTGATGGGGCTCTGTTTCTGTTTTTGAAAGAACAGGATTCGAGCCTGAGATTTGGTTGTATTTTTGAAGTTGAACTGAAGTAGATAAAATGTGAATTTGTCTTTAGTAGTTAAATGGTGATGTTGTAAAGGATGCCCTTTCCGCTGAAATTGCTTGAAGTGTTGATGTTTCCCATATGCTTGGTCATTCCTTGTAAACTGTTTTTGAAATCTGCATGAATTTTCTTTCAGATTTCAAAAATTTAAAAACCCCTTGAGATTCTCTGCAAATAAAGAAATCACTTCTGGCTTGAAGAGGAAGAGTAGAAGGCAGGGAAGCTGTTACCATCTTCTGAAAAAGCTTTCCTTTACCCTCTGGGCACGAGCAGGGGTAGAGTTCCTCTAAGTAAGACTAAATTTTGTGTTAGAGTAAATTAATTCTTTGGTGTGAAGGGTGGTCATTTTTTTTTTTTTAAAAAAAGCTTTTAAATCTTTATTGTATATAACATTAATTTTAAAAAATGAAATTGGCTAAGGAAAGTGAGACATTCATCATACAATAAAGCTGTGCTTTTTTCTGGACACTTCCAGTCTTCGGTGTATGTGTACTAAACACAGTGCATGTTATTCAGTAGTTGACCTGTCATCTTCCTGTTTTCATTTTTCTACTTTGAACAATGTAATAAAAAGTGATGACTGTAGGTGGTCTACTTAAACATTTGCTGCTGCTCTCATTTTTCATACCTTTCTGTTTCAGACCTAGTGAAATACTTGTGCCAGCTTGAAGGAAATGGCTTTCTGTTGAAAATGCTTTCTTCTGTGACCTTGTTTTTAGCATAATTGATGTGGAATAAAAGACTTTATGGACTTGGCTGCTTTTATAAAGCTTAAAAGCAAACAGAACAGTTTCATTTTTATGCATGTTTTGCTTTTCTCTACAGACATCATCGTTTTTTTCCCCAAGACAAGCCACTCCTACGGCATCTTGAAAGAAAATTCACTACTTAAATGCTGTTCATCTTACGCTGCTTTAGAAAAGTGGCTGACATTATCAAAACAGCTTCCTTGACGTTTTATTTTGGGCTTTGCTTTTGTGTCACGATGCGAATTTTGTGTTTGAAAACAATGCCAGTAGTTGCTGGAGTTGGATCCAGTTGTGATGTCGGTGTGTTGGCGTACCAGGAGAGGGCGGTCTGACACGAGTTTTGTGGATGTGACGGGATTTGAAAACACCCTAACTACAGTATCTTTGAAGAGATACCAACTAAGGTTAAAATCGAAATCTCCTTGAGATTAAAACTAATAATAGCTGCTACTTCTAACATTCAAAAAAAAATCGAACTACACACCAAAATTAATCTGGAAAAGTGGAACGCTTGTGCACTGCGTTCAGATAGGGCTCTCTCCATGGAAATCACATTGCATTCTTAAACACAGTGGAGCACAGCAGTTGCAGCTGAGATGTTAGGGGTTACCTAACAGCTTTTAGATATCAAATTTAGCAGCGAGGGAGACCTTTGGAGTCTGTGTCAGATACTGAATACCAGACACGAATAGTCAGGTCAAGAAAAGAGTTGTCCTGGAGGAAGAGGCAGTCAAGTAGTACGTGTTATACTGGATGGCTTAATCTAAAACGCTGCCTAGAGAGTGTTCTTTGGGATGTTGCTATCCTGGGCATCAGTCACAGAAGAGAATTCCACCTTGAGGTGTCTTCAGTGGGTGGCCTAAGTGCACTTTTGATGCGAAGTCTAAGTCAAGTCAATAGAAGAGCAAGGGTAAGGAGAAGAAAACAAAGTTTGGGTTTTCTTCCTGGCACAGCTTGGTTGAAAAGGGTTGTTAGGAATTATATGTCGATGCTTGACGGCAGTTTGTGTAGCTTCCATGAGAGTGAGGTTGGAACCCACAGAGAAATAAAGAGGTGGCAGTTAAATCTGGAGAGGACTTGAGACAGATCTTCAATTATGCAGAAGGTTGTTGTGAGGAGTGTGTGTGTGGGGTAATAATCTGTTCTCCATAACTGTACTGAATGAGACAAGAAATAATGTGTTTAAATTAAGAGAAAAATGTCTCTGTTAAACATTAAGAAAAAGTTCCAGCAGCAGAGATAGTTGAGCACGGGAATACATTGCCTTGGGAAGTTGTGGAATCTCCATCACTGGAGGCTTTTAAGAACAGATTAAACAAATATCTGTCAGGAATGACATATGATCCTTCCTAGGGGTGAGGATAGGGCCTGGATGGTCTCTTGAGGTCTCTTCTGGTGGTGTTTTCTGATGGCTGGAGATTAGGGTAGCAAGAGGTGATTTGGGACGTGCTTAATAGTTAAGACCTGAGATAGAATCTGTCATGGAAGAGGGAGCCCGAGAATTGCCAATGCTGAGGACTGTTCAGCATGGGAGGGAGCTGGGGAATTTGGGAGAGAAATCTTCATGCAAGACTAACAAAATGGACATAGTACCTCATACCTTCAGCTCTCATGTGGCTTGCTGCTCTTACTCCGAAGAGTATCCCTATAGACTGCTGAAACAGTCACCTACAACTCGGTGGCCGTGCTGTTGTGCACAAGTGTCAACAGCAGTGAACAATGCCGTTCCATTTTCTGCTTTGCTTTTCTAAAACCGAGCTAACCTTAACCTTTGACTGACCAGCAACTTTGCTATCCCTGTTCAATCAACAGAAGAACTTTTTGAAGTGGTTTCTTGTCTTCATTGCTATGTGGGGGGGTAGGAATTAAAATGAAGGTATATTGAGTGTGAGTGCAGCTGGGTTTCAAGAGTCGAGATATTTTGAGTTTGTGGTTCTAGCTTTCAGCTGCTAATTGCAGCACTATCTGGAAGAGATTTTAA